CTGATATTTAAATGTACACAATAGTGTAAGAAGGACTACAAGGTCTGATATTTAAATGTACACAATAGTGTAAGAAGGACTACAAGGTCTGATATTTAAATGTACACAATAGTGTAAGAAGGACTACAAGGTCTGATATTTAAATGTACACAATAGTGTAAGAAGGACTACAAGGTCTGATATTTAAATGTACACAATAGTGTAAAAAGGACTACAAGGTCTGATATTTAAATGGACACCAGTGGGTGTGAACTGTGAACTGTGAATTGGTTTCTTTATGTTAAATCAAAAATGAAATTTAAGAACAGACCTAAAAGGGGCCAAATAGAACCTATTAAAGTCAGATTTAAAGAGTAAATAAGGTAAAAGAACCATAAATAATTTAAAGTAAAAAATAGGTTTTATAACTCCTAATCAAATTTCATATTAGGTCACACAACATAAACACATTAGAGGAGAAGATAAACTTATGATAGTAAATTCCGTTGTTAAAAATTCATTCAGATGTAAGCTCTAAAAGAGATCATTTATTGGTTCTTTGTAACAATTATTGCCCACCGTATTACATTTCAATAACCGTTATGCTCTTCCATAACCGACATTCCTGTTACCCTTCCATAACTGTATTGCCCTTCAATACCAGTATTATCCTTTTATACCAATAATGCTCTTACAATATTGCCTTTAAAGTCAGCATTACCCCTAAATGTGAGCATTGCTTCCAATATAATGTTAACAATGTTTCCGAAATTAGCATTGCCTCCAACTGTTAGTTTAGCTTCATGTCTCAAAATGTCAGCATTGCTTGCAAATGTTAGTATTGCCACAAATGCCAGAACATGTCTCCAAAAATGCATTTAAATGCCATGATTCCCTCCATCCACGTTTTCCAAAAACAGTTTATCCACGTGTGTGAATTTTGGGATAAAAAGAAATCTCGATAAAAACGAAAAACTGAGAATTTGATAAAGCACTCACGATGAGGACATCGATTAAAAAACTGCACAGACTATGCTGTACTGCTTGCTGTCTTAGAGAATAGGGTTGAATCTATAAGATGTACTGTGCGCGCATTGTATATTAACCAACGATTAAGCGTTAATAACCCCTCAAATAATCGATAAAATTGAACATCTCCAAGATCATAAAAAGTTCAGTAAAATCTGTATTTTTCTTTCTCTATGATAAACACTTGCTGTTAATCAGTAGCAATCAGCAGTTTGCCGAAATACGTTCTCTTTAGAATTAAAGCAGAAGAAATGAATATATTAAAAAAGTAAATTGTTTTTTTTTTAAATATAAATATACTAGGCTCTTCTATTTAAATTGTGAACATGTTCTTTTTGTTTACATTTTAAAACAAAGAAGAAGAAAATGTTGCGGATTTAAAAAAAATTCGCGGATTTTGAAGAATTTAAATTTTTTTTTACAAAATTAAAAACCTTTAAAACACATTTTTTTATCATTCATAAACCTTCCTTGTGGTGATGTCCCACAAAAAATTTGGGCCCGATCGGTTCAGCCGTTTTGACGTTTATTGGATACAAACAAACAGACAGACACCCAGACACCCAGACAAGCCAAATTTGTATATAGAAGAAATATAAATATAAACATAAAATGAATCGAAAAAGGTTCAAAATCTACTGGGTTGAAATAATATAATTTTTAGTTTAGCGCATATATTTAAAGTTCATCGTAGTTTGGTTTAAAAACCTACATTGAGACCTATTAAACTGTGGAGACGAATTATGAACTCAAATTTTGATTTTAAATAAAATACAGCAATAGTAAAAGTATTTAGTTGATTATCAAACTACAGCCACTGGTAACACATTTTGCTTTCAACTAACACCAAATTCACAAAAGAATAGGCTTCCTATCCTGAGTTAATTGGGCATCTATTATATTGAAATTTTATTGAATAAAATTAGTCTTAAATTTGTTTTGTGCTCCGAACCAAGTTTGTTGTATTCAATATTCTGTTCAACATGAAAACTATGAGGAGTTATGGGATCGCTAAGTTTTACCTCCGCAAAAAAACTCATTTCTTATGTTGAGATTGACAAGTTAAGGTTTTGTTTTCAGAGTTGTCGTAGGACTATGCTAGACTATGAAATACTGTTTACTGCACACGAATCCCCTGTTTACGGATCCTATCCTGGAAACAGATCTCAACCTGAACCTGGAGATAGGGTTGGAGCTCAAGCTGAAGCTGGAGATGAATATCTTGTAAAACCCGATCTACCATCCTGGGTGGGTAACAAGAGAGGGTCCAAATACATTTCAAAATTAAAGATGTTGCCCCTGTTATTACAATTGATCTTTCATATATTGAGGGTTATGTCCGATTTACATCGCTACCCTAAAAGTTTAGATATTTTAAATAAAGATTTGTTATAAAAGATAAAAACCGACAATTTATCATTATTTACAATACTTGAGTACTTTTGTAAATTGGACATGCACCTTTTAGGATCAAAGGTCACTTGAATTGTCTTGAATTGCACAGTATTCCTTTAAGTGTCTTGAATTGCACAGTATTCCTTTAAGTTTTTTGAATTGCACAGTATTCCATAAAATGTCTTGAATTGCACAGTATTCCTTTTAGTGTCTTGAATTGCACAGAATTACTTAAAATGTCTTGAATTGCACAGTATTCCTTTAATTGTCTTGAATTGCACAGTATTCCTTTAATTGTCTTGAATTGCACAGTATTTGATTTTGAATTTTCAAAATTATTCTATTGTAAACCAATGATATGAAAATCAAAGACATAGATTCTATAATCTTAAGAAAAACCTTTTTTGTTTTGAATCTCGTGAATAGTATTTATCTCCATCTTATGCAGACGCAAGGAATTAATATTTTGGATATATTTTCTATATCACATTGGTTATCGAGATAAATCGTATTCAAGAATTTGTCCAGGAGGGGGGGGGGGCTTAATCTTTTTTCTTTACAGAGGGGGGGGCCTCAGCACCCGTTAGGACCTGAAATCCATAGATTTCAATGGTCCAGGGGGGGGGCTGAGCCCCCATAGCACCCCCCTGAATTTGCATCTGAATGGAAGCCATAAAGTATTTGTAATTAAGATTTATTTTTTCTGTTTTTCTAGATCTGGGTTAAATTCTGACTTTGACTTTTTATTTCAAGTTTCCATAAAACTTGAGAAGAAAACTTTCTAAATAAATTCAAATTGTTTAAAAAGTACTAACTATGCTGGAAGTTCTAAAGTTTATTCGAAAAAGCTTATATTTGTCACAAGGATATTGGTAAAAAAGCAATTTTAGTGGGGTAGGGGGGGCAGCTATAAATCAGGGGGATGTTACACAGGGTGTCCTACGAAACATGTCAGAAGCAAGACATCTAGAGGGTTGTCTTTGACCTTTGAAATAATTTCGGCAGTTTCGTCGTAAACCTAATTTTAGAAGTAAAATTCTAGATTTAATAAATCGCAAAATACCCCTAGTCTTGGCATTTCAAAAATGTGGTCTGCCTCTTTTGTGCTTTCACTATTTCTGGAGATATTATGAATTTCGTTCAGATTTAAATTTATAAAATAAAAGCAAAATTGCCAATATCGGAACACTAGTATTCATACCTCCGATGAGCAAGGAAAGACAAGCCCGTGAGGGGGGAAGGCAGGCGGCCAAAAGCCACAACATTTTCTCCTTCCATGCCACAAATTATCTTTTTTAAAAAGTCTTCCCGCAGTCATGAGTCAAAACCATACGGTCTTCAATGCCACATCATTTGAGTCTTCCGGAAGTTTTTAAATTATTAATTTAGGGCATTGAAATTTTGATTTTTAAAATCCTGCCGCATTAAGCAAAAGATCCTACCTTTAAGAAATTTTAGAAGTTTATTTAGTATCAATGAATTGTGTTTTTAGGAGGTTTTACAAAGAAAATTTTACAAAATTTTACACATTGAGGACACTGAGACAAATTGTTCGGGGTAGTCCACAGACTAAACAGACTACTCATACACTAAATAGGCTGAGCCAGCCTATATTGTCCCGGCACGCCATGCTACGGTTCCATGTAATGTTTTCTGACTGACATCTCTCGGCCACTTGTTGCATTCAGGGGTTAAGTTTTACAACTTTTAAAGAAATATTCCAATTTTAAACATAAAACATAACTTTTATGAATATTGTCTATTTTTAAAGATTTTTCATTTCCTATTCAAAGGATCCTTAAATACATATGTCTCATGATTGGTCGTGTACAGTACTTGTACACAGTAGAACATGCTGTAGAAAATATCGCATATAATAGGTGTTAATCGATCTCTATAACTCTCTTATCTCTGGGGTAGTCTAAAGAATAAGAAAAGATGATAAAAATCACATTATTAACTGTAATTATACCTGAGCATTCCAGAGTTCCTCAAAAAAATGTCTCGTTAAATAGTGCAAAGTTTTATGGGCGCCCTTCGAACATTAAGGGTATGATATGGTGCATCTTTTTTATTGTTCATAATGTTTTAAAAAATAAGCCATTTTAGAGGAATAATCAAAATTATTTTGGGAAAAATAAGTTCAACAGTTTACATAATTTCAATTAAAAACTTGAATATAAAGTTCTTTCTCTATATCTTTCGCATGACGTCGTTGGATTTTTGAGAATCACAATTTCAATGCACTAAATTTATCATTTAAAAACGTAATAACTCAGAATTGCCCAGACACTCAAATGCTGTTACATGGAAGACCGTACTACGGTTGTGGCTTATGCTGTCGGAAGACAAAAAAGCTAAAATGTTGTGGCTTATGACCTCCTGCTTTCCTCCGCTCAGCCCGTAAAGCCTACATCCTGCAATTTACTCACAGACATAGAGTTGCACCATTTCAAAATTGCATTACTTTTTAATGCTTATAGTAGAGAAATGTAGCATTAATTTAAGATTTTAAAGACGTCGCGTCGTGGCATCTATGTATAATAAACATATTAATCATATTTATTGGGGGAATACAAGTAAACTTTCTCGCTCNTGAACCCTCCTCTTATCCCAGTAAAAAACAACATCCTGAAACAGCTAATTAAATATTTTAGCGATTGATTTAATCTTTTTGAAAAGTAAAGAGGCTAAGCACTACATCTTGGATATTTATGGATCACACACCTCTCACCCTTTAGTAAAAGTAAATTCAACCTAAAGTCTGACCGCGTCAACCTTGTTGCACCGGCTAGTCCTAATGAGTGTCTGATTTATTTACCCAATTTACGGGCGATACAATACAATTTAAAATTTACGCAGCTCGTAAATTTTAATGTACTACGGCTGCCCGTGGGAAAGGTGACCAATGAAAATGATAGCATATGACTTGTTTAGTCACGAATCAAATACCCGACTAAGGAGGAAAAATTATACAACACGATTTACATCAGATATCGTAAAGCCATTTTTTTTACCTACGCATACAAGACATCCATGGATCTGTAAAGTATATCTGTCTATAAAATAAAGCTCTTCGCTCATCATATATGTACATTTGTATTTTTGTATGTTTATAAATTATATATTTGTTAGCAACTTACAGGGTGTCCCACGAAACATGACAGTATGCAGGACGACTTGAATTTAATCTATATAATAGGAATATCTTTAAAACATCTCTGTACATTTATATTTTTCAAGATGAAAAATGTCGTCTTATGCGCAATCTATCTTTATCTATGCAAGTAGTTCACAGACAAATAATTTTGACTAGTTTTGCTCTTGTTAATGAATGAATAAAGCACAAAGTATACTTTTTAAAAATAGAACAAATATTTTTTTTGGAATCTCCTTTGAAAACATCTTTACAAATGACTGCAATTGTGACAATTGTAACAATTTTTACAATTTGCTAATCTTAACCCTCCCCCCCCCAAAAAAAAAATGTGAAGACAACAAATGAATTTTGATGAGTACATGATGTACGCTATGTCCAGGTCTTTGTAATCTGTTCTGTGTACCTGAGCGTTCTGTTCTTCTGCAGTGTTACTCTTAACTTATCAGTTATTGTACTGTACTGCAAAAAAAAACAGGTATTCATTTTTATATCCGCAACAAATAATATTTTTCTTGATTTTTATTTTTGAGGTATCTGCAGCCTTTCACACAAAAACTTGCAACTTTTATAAGTTTTCAATTTTTAATCTTTTTGCAAGGATCAAATACTTGCGAAAAGTAAATCTGCCAACTGTCAAAGTTTTTTGAAGAACAATTTATCTATCTATCTATCTATCTATCTATCTATCTATCTATCTATCTATNGAAATATAGCCATGGACAAATTTGAAGAGAACACTCAAAAACCTCAAAACATGTAAAAATAATTTCAAAATGCGAAATTTATTTTGAATTTCCTGTAAGCTTCATGTAGTCTTTTGTGAGATTTAAATACGAGAAAATTGACTAATTGTTACAGTACTACAGATATATTGCACAAATGCTACTTTAAAACAATATATTGTACTAATACTACCAATTTACAAAATTGCACGGATATATTTATATTATAATTCAGGTTAAGATTTATTTAATTTCATTCAAATTAAGATTTTTAATCTTTTTGTTCGAATGAAATTAAAACGAACATCAGGTTTCGTTTTTAAAATAAACTTGATGTTCGTTTTACTTTCATTCGAACAAAAAGATTAAAAATCTTAATTTGAATGAAATTAAATAAATCTTAACCTGAATTATAATATAAATATATCCGTGCAATTTTGTAAATTGGTAGTATTAGTACAATATATTGTTTTAAAGTAGCATTTGTGCAATATATCTGTAGTACTGTAACAATTAGTCAATTTTCTCGTATTTAAATCTCACAAAAGACTACATGAAGCTTACAGGAAATTCAAAATAAATTTCGCATTTTGAAATTATTTTTACATGTTTTGAGGTTTTTGAGTGTTCTCTTCAAATTTGTCCATGGCTATATTTACAACGGCCCGTTAACCACTGGCACTGTTAATTAACGATTTCTAAAATATCGTTTGTTTACGTCCTAAATAAAATTGAGATTGTTAACGAACGGAAACTGTAAGAAATAACGGAAAATATCGTTAACGAACATAACGTCCAATTCTTTGCTAAAGAACAAACGGCTTCACGAACGAACGATTCTTACTGTTCGTTAACGAACGGGTTGAAAGAACTTGCCCAGCCCTAGTTACTGTATAAGTACAATATATTGGCTTGCATGCTCATGTTTCCTGTTGTTTATCATTTATCCTTCAATATAGTTACTTAATAATCCTTTATTGGACAAATATATAAATAACATATACGTTTATTTCATATATATTTATAATACAGTGGCTTAGGAATCCAGTTTTGCTCTGAATATTAGTCAAACCAACTCAACCTTAATTCGAAATTTCTTAACGAGTTCCACAATCAAAGTTTGATGCAATTTAGTCAAGGTGTTCGGACATACAAACAGAGAGTACTTTATATATTATACATGTTATACTTACCAAGGGTTAACTTTTTAAAATTTTCTGATTTCTTCTGTATATATTATTTAATATAACAGTATAGAAATCCTAGAACCAATGGAAATAAATTCTATTTGAGAATTTATCTTATGCAGCTTCAATTTTCAAAAAAGGAAATTCTAAGATTAATGTACTCCTCTTAAATTTAAACCATGACTAGCTGAACTGTAATTTATGATGAAAAACTTCTAGATTATATAACGTGCGCTACTTTTAGAATATAACGTGCGCTTCTTCTAGAATAAGGCGTGTGTACTTCTAGAATATAACGTGCGCTACTTCTAGAATAAGGCGTGTCTACTTCTAGAATAAGGCGTGTTTTACATCTAGGATATAACGTGATCTACTTCTAGCATATAGCGTGTTTTACTTCTAGGATATAACGTGCTTTACTTCTAGGATATAGCGTGTTTTACTTTTATGATATAACGTGTTTTACTTTTAGGATATAACGTGTTTTACTTTTAGGATATAACGTGTTTTACTTTTAGGATATAACGTGTTTTACTTTTATGATATGACATGTTTTACTTCTAGGATATAACGTGCTTTACTTCAAGGATATGCCGTGCTTTACTTCTAGGATATAGCGTGTTTTACTTCTAGGATATAGCGTGTTTTACTTCTAGGATATAATATGCTTTACTTCTATGATATAACACAGTATACTAATAGGATATAAAACAGGATACTTCTAGGATATAAGACAGTATACTTCTAGGATATAACACAGGATACTTCTAGGATATAACACAGGATACTTCTAGGATACAACACAGGATACTTCTAGGATATAACACAGGATACTTCTAGGTTACAACACAGGATACTTTTAGGATATAACACAGGATACTTCTAGGATATAACACAGGATACTTCTAGGATATAACATATTATTTTTCCAGGATTCCTTCTAACACTATTTGGTATGGTTTCAATTAATATACTCACAGCTGTTTCTATTTACCGTTGGGCTATAGTTCATTTCGAGGTAAGTTACTTTAACTTCTCAATTCGATATCAGTATATATAACATTTAGATATTGTGGGGTTTATAAAACTCTAAAATAAGAAGACGACTTTCATGCAATTTTATGCTGTTTTAAAGCAAATACTGTTTGCAGTGTCTTAAAAAATAGCTTATTATTAAGAAAACAGGGTTTGTCTAGAAGAGTACAATGGAGTTTCATATTGATTAATGGATTAATAGATTTGCAAAATTAATTAATTACTGGATTCATAGAATAATTGAAATTCAGATAGGGCATTAGATGTCGTCTTTTCAAGATTTAGGGTTTTTCGTTCAAAATAATCCTGAGGTAGACGCCCAAAGGAGTTAAGCGCATGCTGCGTAGAATTACAAGAAAGAAGAGAGCCTGTTCTACACCGACTGCGCATAACCTCTTTGGGTTTCTGCCTCAGTGTTATTGTGAACGAAAAACCCCTAAATCTTGAAAAGATTACATCTTATAGTTTCCTATCTGTTATTTTAATTAATCTATGCTTGGGAATATCTAAAATCTCGTAACTTGAGTCTAACTTTTTCCACAGTCAATTATAAAAGAAACTTTATATCTGAATGTTAAATAAAAATGTTTAAGGAGAATTGATTTCATTCTACTATAAAAGTTAAAATTTTAGTTTTAACAATGAAATTTACCGAATACAAAATACAAAAATAACAAAAAAAATACCGAAGACAGCTTATATTTTCTTGAAGAAGTGTTTTCAACTCGATTTCCTAAATTGAATCAACAAACGTGAAGTATTGTTTCAAACGTTGATAAAATACAGGGGACATTAGTTTAAAAACTAACACTTGGCATATTTCTAACACTGTGTGTTAGAAATGGATCCCGGCCCTTATCCAGAGTAAAAGTCGATATGAAAAACTATAACCAACATTTTATTAACATGACGAGGACCACAATTCCTGATTTTAAACTTTTTTTAAATCAAAATTATAATAGAAGTTCTTTTTATATTAAATCTCTTGACCGTTTTCGAGACAATATTAGGTTTTCCATTTTCGAACATATCCTGAATTTGATTCATTGTCACTCTTTTGAGACAAAACCCTCTTTCCCGTTTTTGAATATAATTCACAATTCAGAACAAAAATCACTTTCATAACTTACAAAATAAATCACGGAAAACAAAAATTATCTTATGAAAACTAAATTAACTTCTGAATTATTTCTAGGATCAAAGTTTCCACATTTTATCTGTTAAATTAGAGAACATTGATGATTTATTTTCAAGCATTTAAAAAAAACAGTTTCCCGCATTTCTAGTTAAATATATATTGTAAGAGCGCAATATTTTGATTTCTCAATGCTTCAATGCTGTAATGATTTTTAAATTATAAAAGAACAGTTTGTTTTTATTTTCTATTTTTTATATTTTGCCTTATCAAAAAATCTTTTTTGTTACTTAAGTGCGTAAATGCATAAAAATTGACATTGATATGAATTCCGGTAATTGTTTCAAAACCAGGATATGTTCCAAAACGCGATATGTTCGAAAATGAAATCACGAATCATCAAAAACTAATTCTCACACCTTAGTATCAGTTTAAAATTGACATTTATTGTTTTAATATATAGTTTTAGCCATTTTTTACAAATTTATGGTGCAATTTTGTTCTACTTGTCTTGGATTTAAATATATATACTCTTGAAAAAGTTACCTTTGCACATTTGGCCCATTTTTAGCACTAAGTGTTAGAAATTGGCCTAGTGTTAGTGTTGGAACTAATATCCCCTGAAATAGAAAGAATGTCTCATGTTGATTAAAAATCCCAGAATTAAAAGAATTACAGAATTCAATTGCACAGAAATTTAAAAATCTTGGAATTAAAAATCGCATATTTAACAGAATGACAAAATGCAAAAGCCCATAGAGGTGTCTATACGCATTTAAAACACTCAGGATTAAAACCACCAGAAATCTCAGAATTTAAAAAGTCACAAAGTAAAAAAACGGATGGAAAAAGAATAAAAATATCTAATTTAGATGATCTTTCCGGTCTTTCAATTTATTGAGTTATAACACTTTTGAAAATGAACCAAAAAACACAAAATGCCAAAATTAATATGACCAAACAAAAAATTTAAAAATATTTAAAATTACGTATTTCATAACAAAAATTGGGTCTAAATATGTCACGCATCTCATAATGCCAAAAAACTAAATTTTCCTGTATTTATGGAAAACACCGTAAGTTCAAAAGATGTTAAATTCTTAAAATTAAATGTTTACACTTTTAGGGTCATTGGAACATGGCTTTGTTTGCCAAGGGTCTGGGGGTATTGAGCTGGGTTTGGGGGGTGGCACTGGCTCTGCCCCCCCTCTTGGGCTGGGGGAAGTATGTACCAGAATCCAATGGGATGAGGTAAGTTAAAAAAAGTAGATGTAAAATTTTTTTTGATTTTTGATAAGTCCATAATATCTTTTGGGCAGATAGACAACGGTGAATATTTAATAAATAAAATCTTGAATGCTAAAAAAGACAAACATACCGATTTGAGACACTCGTTTGCGCGTCCACTTCTTACGCTGTAAACTGTGAAAAAAGCTTAATGTACAATATTAAAATACTTAAGCATTACGATTGAAAATTTGAACAGTATGTTGTGATAGTTTACGAAGAAATTGAGTCTTTGCAACAAAATATATCTTTGCAACCCAATCATAATTATTTTAAATAATGTATTCTATTGAATTTAATAAAAAAACACTAATTTTGAAATAAAAGGTTTCACCATCAGATTGCAAAGATAAAAGTTTAAGCAAGTTTTAGTTTGCGTCATTGACTCATTTCTTTCATAAATCCTTAACATTGCGTTTGTATTTGCGTACAAAATGTGCGTTATATTGAAAGGATTTCGATAGAAATTACAAACAAAATGTTAGGCTTTGCAATGTACAGTGTACACTGAACAGGGTTATCCACAAAGGATGAGACATTAGAGACGTTTGTTCCCTTATATTCACGATTTCTTCAACTGTAAACTTTTGGCCAGACATAGAATACTCCATTAGATTACTAAATCTATAAACAAAATACTTATCTTGGGATCGTCACATTTTCCGGTCGTCTTTACAGTCTCATCCTTTGTAGATAACCCTGTTTGCTTGTTTGTTGAATTTGAGCCGCGTCTTAAATCCGCCAAAAACCCGAATTAAACCAACCATATTTGAGCCGCCGCTTAAATTTGAACCGTGGCTCAAATTCTTTTAATTCGGCCTCAGTATCTAAAAACTTAATTTTGCCATTGACATGACGAAGTAACATATTTGAAAATATTTTCTTGTATTTTAGTTGTGCTCCGTCGTGGACCGATCCTCAGTATAATAGTTACAATTATTATCTCTTCATTGGAGGGTTCATCATTCATCTCCTTATTATCCTCTACACCTCATGCTCTGCTATTCTCAAGATCAGAAAGGTTAGAATTCATTGTATTCATCTCCTTATTATCCTCTACACCTCATACTTTGCTATTCTCAAGATCAGAAAGGTTAGAATTCATTGTATTCATCTCCTTATTATCCTCTACACCTCATGCTTTGCTATTCTCAAGATCAGAAAGGTTAGAATTCATTGCATTCATCTCCTTATTATCCTCTACACCTCATACTTTGCTATTCTCAAGATCAGAAAGGTTAGAATTGATTGTATTTATCTCTTTATTATCATCTACACGTCAGGCTTTGCTATTCTCAAGATCAGAAAGGTTAGAATTCATTGTATTCATTGATTAAAGGGATTGTAAACGCAATTTAAAGTGACCCTCTAGGCTTAGATGAAGATGGCCAATTTACAACGGTATTTTAAAAAAGCTCTGTCTACTCAATATTGATTAGATATTCATGTTTTTGTTTCTTTAAACTATTTATTCGCAAACCTTTCCTGTGGTCACGTGATGTCCCACAAAAAATTTGGGCCCGATCGGTTCAGCCGTTTTGACGTTTATTGGATACAAACAAACAAACAGACACCCAAATTTATATATAGATTTGCTAAAAATATCCCCAAATCTAAATTATAGTAAAATCAATCAAGGGATTTTCGAGTAATGATCATTTATGACATTTAAACAGGGGCGTATACAGGATTTAAGTGAGGGGGGGTGGTAAACAAAAAAGTTCGCGGATTTTTTAATATTTGGTTTTGCGCATTTTCAAAATTTTACAAAATCAAAAGCTTTTGGACACACATTTTTGTAATTTTGAGTATCCATAGACCTTCCCTATCCCGATCGGTTAAGCCGTTTTGACGTTTTTTTTTTGAAAACAAAGAAACAAACAGACAGAGAGTACAGACAAAAAAAGTATATATAGGTTGTTGTGATGATCACTGTATTTGTGTTCTGTTGGTCTCCCTACGCTGCTCTATCAGCTGGATCACTTCTGGGTTACAGTAAGGTATTTAACACACTGATTAAACTCTTCAATCCTTGTCCCAGCAAGCAGGCACTTTCGATCCCAATTTGACCAATCAAACATGTATTTTATAGACGTTATATCTAGCTGAAAGGAGCTGTAGACGTTATATCGAGCTTAAAGAAACTGTAGACGTTATATCAAGCTTAAAGGAACTGTAGACGTTACATCAAGCGTGAAGAAACTGTAGACGTTTTATCAAGCTTAAAGGAACTGTAGACGTTATATCAAGCTGAAAGGAGCTGTAGACGTTATATCGAGCTTAAAGTAACTGCAGACGTTATATCAAGTTTAAAGGAACCGTAGACGTTTTATCAAGCTTAAAGAAACTGTAGACGTTATATCAAGCTTAACGGAACTGTAGACGTTACATCAAGCGTAAAGAAAATGTAGACGTTTTATCAAGCTTAAAGGAACTGTAGACGTTCAAACTTAAAGGAACTGTAGACGTTTTATCAAGCCTAAAGGAACTGTAGACGTTTTATCAAGCCTAAAGGAACTGTAGACGTTTTATCAAACTTAAAGGAACTGTAGACGTTTTATCAAGCCTAAAGGAACTGTAGACGTTTTATCAAGCCTAAAGGAACTGTAGACGTTTTATCAAGCTTACAGGAACTGTAGACGTTTTATCAAGCTTAAAGGAACTGTAGACGTTATATCAAGCTTAAAGGAACTGTAGACGTATTATCAAGCTTANGACCCAACAGATAGAAGTAAGATTAGTAGCGATCAAAAGTGCTTTTTATCGCATTAAGCCTATATCCCCTTTCATTTTTCGCGAACACTCCCTTTAAAGGAACTGTAGACGTTATGTCAAGCTTAAAGGAACTGTAGACGTGATATGCCCTATTTACAACGGTACCCTTTAAACTTTTGTGTGTTCGTCAAGTACAGAGATACGTGTGTATAAAATTATCAAAATCCGCTTTTATTCAGCTGCAAATTCCTATGCGCGCTGTGTTGAGTTTCGATAAGTATACTTACAGATATCTGTACTCAACATACACACAAAGGTTTAAGGGTAAGGTTTTAAATTGGGCATTGCCCTTTTTTCAAGGGTCACTTGAAATTACGCGAACAGTCTCTTTAACCTGAATTTGTTTGTTTAGTCTATCCCTGTTCCTGTAACTGTGTTTCCCCTGCAGATGGCTAAATCATCAACACTCTGGAATCCTTTAATATTCTTCATACTCAACCCTACAGTGAGTTAGAAAAATACCTTTTTGGAAGAAAAATAAAACTTTTTATTAAATATTTTGGACGAACAAAGATATTGGATCAGGTTCGTAACTAAAGCAACAGAAGATTTGATTTCTTATCGCAAACTCAATTTTTCTTATTCTATATTGTGTATTTACTGTACACACAAATATTTCATAATACACACTGAACTAACCACAGAGAGAAGCATCCTGTTTCTTTTATTTGAAATCAAACGTGCGTTCGTCTATATTTCAAAACTCTTTAAACTTACAGATTTGTTTATATATATTCAAAATGTATATACCAACAAAAAGTTATTTAATAATAAATGCTTTAAAGTTATGTATAAGGGGTCAAATTGTGATGGGAAATCCACGTGAATATGACTAAATATTGATCTGAAAAGAATTTAAAGTTTGAAATGACCAATTTCTAGAACATCTGAGGCCGTATTGTAAGAATTTGAGACGCGACTCAAAAATGTTTGGTTCCACATGAAATTGTATTCGGTGATTCGAGAGTTGATCCAGCGCTCAACTGGAACCGGTTTTTGGCTGTTCTTTAAATTCGGCCTCAGGTCGTTAAGATAAAAAGATCAGCAAATTATATGCGGCGACTATCAGTTTTTTTTGTTTTGATTCAGCCTTTGTAAATGGCTGAATTTTTTTCTATTTTAGTTTCGTAAATCCGCCTTGGATGAACTGCCGGAGTTTCTCAGAAAAAAACTTATGAAAAGAGAGGAATCAAGGTAGTTTTAACCCTTGTCTGATTGGGCTATATTTTTCTAATTTAGATGGGGGGTGTGTTTTCACCCCTATTTGTAATTTTGCCCTTTTTCATGGAATTGAAAGTGATAAAGTTTAAGTGTTCTAGTGTAAGCTGTTTTTAAGTTATGCAAGATAACCACAAGGGAGGGGGATAAGGCTTGAAAATAGTCCTTATTCCCATGTGCAATCGCGAAAGGGTTAATTATTTCAAACACGAACGTTTTTGGTTCGCTTTTGCATATATGTTCTCTCGAGAATAAATTTGTCATTGTGTAGAAGATGTTAAAAAATGTTAAAAAAATACGATTTAAAGAATCTTAAAAAAAAAATAACCAAGGTATGTTTAAAAAATTACGCACATGAAAAATAGTTGCGAAAACTAGCCAACTGGCAAACTACAGTGTAAAACAGAAAACTAGTAAACTGACAAAGTACAGTTTAAACCAGAAAACTAGTAAACTGGCAAACTACTGTGTAAACCAGAAAACTAGTAAACTGACAAAGTACAGTTTAAACCAGAAAACTAGTAAACTGGCAAACTACATCCTAAAACAGAAAACTAGTAAACTGGCAAACTACAGTATAAACCAGAAAACTAGCAAACTGGCAAAATACAGTGTAAAGCAGAAAAGTGTGGAATAAGAAGACGACATATTAGAAACTATCAAGTATATTGGATATTTTATGTTGTTATAAATATATATTTATAGTTTGACTAGTAACTTATTAAATCTTTTTTTTCAAGTGAAATTACCCTGTTTACACTGCACAATTTATTTGTTTCGTGTTCATTGAACTGCTAAAAATCAAAACTTGGGTATAAAAGGCGTTTCCTATTCCAGAGTTTTTTGTTCTCAGTATAACAAACTTGATTTTATGCTGAAGAATTAACATTAAACAGCGCTAAAGAATTTTTCTTTAAAAATATTTTTTATCTTTAGACCCCTGCAC